GCCGCCCCTTGCCGACTCGCTGCCCCCAGGGGGCCCCATGGCGGCGCGGGCGCCGGTAAGTAGAGGGTTCCCCAGGCCCACCCGGCTGGAGTCGCCGTTCACACGGTCCCACCCCCAGCGATATAGGGGATCCCGGGGCTCGTCGCCTTTCCATCTTAATGTTCTTGGATCTAGAGGTCCTGGGGGAATGGGGTGGGAGCGGCTGATCTAATTACTTCCAACCCAGGGTTCTGAATCCAGGTCAGGGGTTATGAGGAGGGACCCCCGTTTCTGGCTGGAACCTTGAGCTTGTCGCTTCGCCGCCTTTACCTTCATTCCCTCGGGTCTAAAATTGGAATATTGACAATTCTCTCTCTGTTGAAGGAGCTGGATAGGGTTAGTGTGATGTGCGCCCGTCAGTGCTCAGCACGACGCGAGCGCATTACTCTGGATGCGGTCTCTGATTATGCGATTACCTTAGGCTCACTCCGCGGGAAGTCTGAGCCCTCAGGCCTTGACCCAGCTGAAAGCTGGGAGAGAAGATGAAAGCCCGAGCGCTTGGGTGAGGTGGAAGCTGCGTTTTTGGAATTACTGCTCTGATTGGCATAGAAATTCCCTCAACGAGCTAGAACTGGATGTTTTTTTGCAAATGCCGCCTCACCTGTGTACTATAAGCGCAGCTGGCTTGCCACTTACAGCAGTGAATCCATTTTCCTGTTTAACACCTTTACTTATATTTGAAAAAGTGAGCCCAACACAATATTCATTAATGACAGTGCGTAGGAATGTTGCATCTCTTGGGATGTAAACGTGCAACAGGCCCTAAATTACTCTCCAGCCGCCCTGTTTGCTCTCCTCCTAGCTCTGATCACCTTCAGGACTCACTCATTTTTCTCACCTGGCTTTCTCCCTAACTTCATTCCAGCCTCCTTCTGTTGTCCCCTCATAGAGGTCTTCCTCGATTGTCCCATCCAAAGTCCCCACTAATCTTTGTAGTCATTTCACTCTTTTGTTGTTTTCAGATCCCTTAGGGTCATATGACTGTATCTTTCATTTATTTAGTTTCTTGTCAGTCTTTCCCCAGTGAGCTCCTCTACTCTATCCCCAGGCCTAGGACAGTGCTGGCCTGTACCAGGTGCTTGATGAGTGAGAGACTGTCCTCTTGGGCTCCCATCATGCTTAGGTTAACTCTAAACCCCTCATCATGTCTGGACCAGAGGGACCTGGGTTCAGATTTTCCCCTTCTCATTAGACATACGATCCTGGGCATCTTGACTCTGAACCTCCGTTTGCTGATTGTGGAATGGACACAGTGAGGGTGTTTACCTCATGGGCCATGTGACAATTCATGAAATCGCAAACACTGACATGTTCTGGGCACTGCACTCTTTGCTTTATGAACATTTTCTCTTTAATTCCCACAACCACCTGGAGAAGTGGGAACAATTATTTATTGAGGCGCAAAGAAAATAGCATGTGTTAGTTCAAAAGGCTGGATCTAAACCCTGAGAGTCTAGCTCCAGTCCTAGACTTTAATTGCTTTAACACAGCATCTAAAGCCCTCAGGCAAACAGTGCGGAACAGTGCGGCTCAGCTGTTGCTGCTGCTGCTGTTATTGGAATTATTATTTTTAGCCCACTCTTCTAACGTCCCAGAGCGCTTACTGTCTGCTCCTCACAGTCTGCCTGAGATTATCATTATTTTGTGTCACTCTCCAATATAGGAGGCTTTTCACTCCCATACCTTTGTATTCCGTCAAAGGCACCACTTACCTTCCTCCTGAGCCCAGCACAGAGCTAGATTCTCAGGAGATACCCAGTGATTCAGGCCTTGGGTCTCTCAACGTTTGCTACTAGCCAAGCAGCATGCTCTAATCTCAATAGGCCTATGGCCACTCCACCACCTCTATTTGACTTTCTAGGCATTGGAGTCATTTAAAGATGTGGCCCTGACCTTCACTAGGGAGGAATGGGGACATCTAGACCTGGACCAGAAGACCTTATACCAGGAGGTGATGCCAGAGACTTGTGGCCTCCTGGTCTCAGTGATTAAGGCCTCACCCCTCTCCCGCGTGTGCCCGCAGTCTTTCATTCCATCCTTTTGCTCTAAGCGTGGCTGGTTGAGAAGACCTCAGGACCCCACCTACCCTCCCCCACAACCTCAGCATGTTCTGGTATAAACTTCCTTTTGCTTGGTTTCCCTGTATCTGCCTTAGGGCTTAATGTACAAGAAACATAATTCTCAACACGTTGTCTCAACCCAGGTGTTCAGCATAATCTGGCCCAGGCTGATGTCTTTATCCCAGATTCCCATAAGAGGGAAGGTGATTGATTGAGCTTGGTTGAGTCAAGTGTCCCCATGTCCTATTTATTAGAACCTGTGAGTAATAGGTTCTCCAAGAAGGGGTGAAGCAGACGGTCAAGAAGGTATTTGTCATCAGTGCTACTGGTCTCTAAGCAACACAATCTCAGCTAAAAGGCTTCTTCAGCCCCTGGTACCTGCACAGTTGTTCCTTATTTCCTAAGGCCTATGCCTTGCTTCTCTGCTGCTACAGGAGTCAATTTGAGAGATGCATGGACACGTTTTCAAATGGCAATGATGGGCACCTGAGAAAGCTGTTTATTTTTCTCTTTTCTTTCCTGCCTCTTGTTTTTTGCTGAGAGAGTCTGGGCTTAGTGCTGCATGTTTAACGCTCCCGTGGCTGTTGGTTCAGTTCCCTTTCAGCAGGAAGAACAGCCGTGGCACTCAGACTTGAGCAGGTAGCAGGAGCTTGCTGGGACTACAATTATTTTACCTGGTGGTGGCGGTTTTTTAATCCTCACTCTAGGATATTTTTTTCATTGCTTTTCAGAGAGAGTGGAAAAGAGAGAGAAAAACATTGATGTGAGAGAGACACATCAATTGGTTGCCTCCCGCACATGTCCTGACCAGGGCCAGGGATTGTGCCTGCAACCAAGGTACATGCCTTTGGCTGGAATCGCATCTGGGACCCTTCAGTCCTCAGGCTGACGCTCTAACCACTGAGCCAAACTGGCTAGGGTGATTTTATCATATTTTTAGAGTATCCTTTTACTTAACCCAAGTAAACCAGTATCTTTAAAGTGCTTAGAAATAAACTGGAAAATACAAAGTGCTATACATGTATTTGTTATTTATAGCGCTGATATATATAGCAATCAACCAGCATTGACCTATGATCCAAGCAGCCAATCAATTAATAAATTAGTAAGTCCCAAATGTTCTCCCACCTAAACCCTAAATGTCCAGTTTACCGAGAAGTCAGTCTGAATACAAACTGAAAGGAGGCCCGAGGTCTCCCTTTTCTTAAGTGTCCAAATGGTTACCTCTTACAGGGCTCTCCCAGCCTGTGTCCACATAGTCTCTCCCAGGAGGTCAGTCATCAGTGCAGTAAATACAGTGTTATTTTATGACAATTGTGATTAGTTGTTAAAAGGAGAAATATGTGGAACAGTAGTCCAGGCAGAGAAACCAGCACAAGCCAAGTCCCTGTGGGAGCAGCGAGGTCAGTTCCTTTACAGAGAAGGCCGATCTGATAAACCATTTCCACTGCCCCATCCCTGAGCTCGGGGCCAGGCTTGTAGCCAACATCAGTGAACATTTGCCACGTGACAACTGGACACATTCTGGTTTGCAGTACAGGGTTTTCCACTTGGTTTCAGTGGGTCCTGGTGCCTAAGTCACTGACTTCTCTCCGGAGCCCTCTGGTTTTAAGCTTTCACTTTTGGAAAAATATGTTTGGCTGCATATACCAGAAAACCACCTCATACTGGTTTCACCCTGAAAAAAGTTTATTACTTCATTTAATAAGAAGCCCTGAGGGAGTGCTGGCTCCTGGGCTGGTCAGTGCCAACCCTGTTCTCTCTGTCTGCTTTTTCTCCTTGGTCCAGGTCATCTGGCCAGAGTCCTTGTGGTGGGCACAGGATGATGCACCAGCATGTAGGGCTGCAGGTCTCCACATTTAGCCCCATCTTCCCATCCTGCAGTAAAGGCTTTTTCTTCAGAATGGGTAGCAGCTGTTTTAGATCAAGGCCTGCCTCAGACATTCACCAGCTGATTTACTTCAGTGTTTTTAGCCATCCTTGGGCACCAGAATCACCTGGGGAGCTTCAAAAACTGCCGAGGCTCAGTCCCTATGCCTAGAGATTTGGCTTAATTTGTTCTGTGTTTGGAACCAAACATCTCTAGGTAGTTCTGATGCATGGAGAGGTTGAATCCTACTGACTTAATTAGGGAACACCTTTCTGGGGTTCATCATAGTGGTGTGTTAAAAATGTATACTCCTGTATTCTTGAGACTTTTCCTTTTGTCTCTAATGCATTTATTTCTACATGCACAGGGCATCTTGTTCCCAAACTAGAGCTGGTCTGCCTCCTGGAACATGAGCAAGAACTATGGGCAGTGAAGAGACACCTCTCCAAAAGCACCTATACAGGTAGGTGGGCGAGAGTCTGGCAGGTGCGTGTCATAGCAGCCAGCAGGGAATCATGTCTGAAATTCCGTGCGCAGCAGTTTTCTTTTATGACTTCCCTGCGGTCTTCCTAGGTGGTCATTGGGCACTTTGAACTGTGTTTCTCCTGTCTTCCCACTCCCATCACCCTCTTTGCCTTTACTAGAGTTGAAATGTGGTATATTAGGTAAGAGATACGTTCTAAATGTTTAGTCACTCACCAGCCTCATGACCCTGGGGAAGTTACATGATCTCGTGCCTTGGGTATACAAGTAAGGCTGACTTAATGCTACCTGCTTTAAAAGATAAACTGCAAAATCTTGATCAGCCAAGAGATTAAGAGTTTCTTTTCTCATCATGGCATATTTCATGTGGGTTAGCAGGGGAACTCTGTAGTACATAATTATCCAGGGACCCTGGTGCATTTTATTGTCAATACATGGCTTTCAGGTATCCCTGGCATCACCCAGCTGGCCAAGAAGAACAGAGAAGGGGAGTAGTCATATCCACTTGCATACACACATCACTTCCATTCACATCCATTGACAGGACCGTGTTGATGTTGTATCACACTGGGAAATACGGATTAGGATACATGTTGATGTTGTGTCACGCTGGGAAATATGGTTTAGCTTTGTGCCCAAGGAGAAGCCATGGGTATGATGAACAGATAGTCTGCTCAGCTTAGCCTGCATTTGAGAAATATAGTAATAATAGTTTCTGCATCATTGGATTGTTCGGGAATGTAATTAGATAACATGAAACTGCTTATTAGCTCACTGCCTGACCCAAAGTAAGCGGCTCAACAAAAGCTACCTATTAGGAGTATTCCTGTATTATTAGTCATAATGAGTAGTGATATCTCAAACTTTCTGGACTCAGAAAAGACAGTCCTTTCTTCTGCGATTACTACCTCCAGTTATACTTTGCGTACACTCTTTGCTACCTCTCCATCCAGTCATTCATTTATTTATATCCATGCAATCATCCTTCCACTTATGAATCAGATATTCAGGAGTGCCTAGCCTTGTCATCTTCTTGCTCTCCTGTCTTGTAAAACATCGAGGAGGCATTACCCCACATCTGGGCTGCTAAGGGCAGCCGGAGCCATCAAGTGTGTGGACCAGCACCGAGGCAGATTCGTGATCTCTCCCCTCTAGTGTTCCTTCAGGCTGCTCAGCCAGCCAGCGAGTGTCTCTGGCCAGCCCCTTCTCAGCCCCTCAAAGTCTTTCCCAAACCTTCACCCCTCTTTCCAGTTCCACATCTTCACCTGAATGTTTCAAAGGCACCCGCACCCATTATGATCTTACCCACTCCTCCCGTCTCCCCATTTTGAATTAATGGCCTTGCCATTCAGTAAGTCCAGAAAGCCACTAACAAACTTGGACAGTGTCTTAACACCTCCATTAGCATCGTACGCAATATCCAGCCGTCCCCAGATCTCAGTCATGTCTCATCATACATAACGTCTGGTCGGTCCCAGCATTAGCACCCACTCCAAGCCGTCATCACCTCTGACCGGAATAACGCTAGCAAGTTCCTAACTGGCCTCCCCGTGAATACTGACTGCCTCTCGTCACCTCCGTGTCTTACACTTTCCCGTCCACTCATACCTGTTCCAGATGTCACCATCTCCCTAGCCACGGATATCTCAGCATGTGACCTACTTCATGTTGAAAGTAAGGGCTGTGCACTGACTCATCCATGCAGTTTCCTCCTCACCTCTAAGAGTTCTCATCCCCGGCCATGGCCTGTCCCACCCGAATTTAGATCACACCTTCACCTGCCTTCTCCGCTGTTAGTTATCTATTGCTGGGTAGGAGTATTAGCACAAACACGGCAGCTTAAAATATCACTCATTTGCTATCTCTCATCTGTGCGTCAGAAGTCCAGGCACAGCTTCGTGGGCCCTCCGCAAAGCTGCAGTCATCGGCAGCTTCTCCAAATCAAGTAATGGCGTGAGGCACTCCAGCAGGAAGATGCCACACACACTCTCCCTCCTACATTCTGGCACCTTTGCCATATTCTGTTTTTTAAAAGCAAATTAAAGTCCTGCCAGCAGAAGGGATCATAAGAGGGTGTGAACACCACCAGGCAGGAGACCAGCTGCTTCACTTACTTTCTACCTCTTTTTTTTTTTCTTTCTTCAATTACAGTTTACAATCGATATTATTTTGAATTAGTTTCAGGTGTTCTGCATAGTGGTTAGACAGTCCTGTACTTTACAAAGTGTTCCCCCCAATATTTCCAGTACCCGCTTGACATGATACATAGTTATTCCTATAGTATTGACTATATTCCCTGTGCTGTAGTTTGCATACCTGGGAGTGTGTTTTGTAACTACCAATTGGACTTCTTTGTCCCTTCACCTTTCCACCCTGTCCCCCAGCTCCTCCCGTCTGGCACTCCGCAACCATGAGGCTGTTCTCTGTATCTATGGGTCTGTTTCTGTTTGTTCATTTATATTTGTTAAATTCCACATATGAGTGAAATCATATGGTATTGTCTTTCTCTGACTGACTTAGCATATTACTCTCTAGGGCCATCCGTGCTGCCACGAACGGTAGGATTTCATTCTTTTTTATGGATGAGTAATACTCCATTGTATATATGCACCACGGCTTTTTTATCCACTCGTCTATTGATGGGCACTTGGGTTGCTTTCATGGCTTGGCTAATGTAAGTAATGCTACAGTGAACACAGGGCTGCATATGTTCTTTTGAATTAGCATTTTGGGTTTCTTCAGAAATATACCTAGAAGTGGAATTGCTGGGTCATAAGGCAGTTCCATTTTTAATTTTTTGAGGACCCATCCATACTGTTTTCCGTAGTGGCTGCACCAGCCTGCATTTCCAACAGTGCAGCTTCCCTTTTCTCCACGTCCTGGCCAGCACTTGTTTTTTTAATTTATTGATGATAGTCATTCTGACAGGTGTGACATGGTATCACATTGTGGTTTTAATTTGCATTTCTCTGCTGATTAATGATATTGAGCATTTTTTCATATGTCTATTGGCCATCTGATATGTCTATTTGGGTCCCCTGCCCATTTTTAAAATGGATTGTTTGTTGTTGTTGTTGTTTTGGTGTTAAGTTGTATGAGCTTTTTATTAATCTTGCACGATACCCCTTTATCAGATGTATCATTGGCAAATATCTTCTCCAGTAAGTTGTGGGCTCAACCCCCAGTAGGCGGCATGCAGGAAGCAGCCAATCAATGACTCATCAATGATATTTCTCTCTCTCCCTCTCCCTTCCTCTGAAACCAATAAAAACATGTATTTTTTTAAAAGATTGTTATGGCTATTCGGGGTCTTTTGTGGTTCCATATAAATTTTTGGATTATTTGTTCCAGTTCTATGAAATACACCATTAATATTTTGACAGGAATTGTATTGAATCTATTGATTGCTTTGGGTAGTATGGGCATTTTAACAGTGTTAATTTTTCCTGTCTATATGCACAGTACATGTTTCCATTTATTTGTATCTTCAATTTCTTCAGTGTCTTATAATTTTCCAAGTTATAGGTATTTTACTCTTTTGGTTAAATTTATTCCAAGGTACTGTTTCTTAAATGCAGTTGTAAATGGAATTTATCTTTTAGTTTCCCTTTCTGATACTTCATTATTGGTGTATAAAAATGCCACCAATTTCTGAATATTTATTTTGTATCCTGCTACGTTACTGAATTTATCAGTTCTAGTAGTTTTTTGGTGGAATCTGTAGGGTTCTCTATGTACACCATCATGTGCATATGTGCATTACCTACAAATAATGACAGATTTACTTCCTCCTTTCCAATTTGGATGCTTTTTATTTCTTCTTGTCCGATTGCTGTGGCTGGGACTTCCAGTACTGTGTTGAGTAATAGTGGTGAAAGTGAACATCACTATCTTGTTCCTGATCTTCAGGGAAACACTTCTACTTTTCCCGTCGAGTGTGATGTTAGCTGTGGGTTTGTCATATGTGGCCTTTATGTTGTAATATGTTTCTTCTATCACCACTTTGCTGAGAATTTTTATCATAAATGGGTGCTGGATTTTATCAAGTGCTTTTTCTGCATTTATTGATATGATCATATGATTTTGATGTTTCATTTTGTTTATGTGATGTATCATGTTTATTGATTTGTGGATATTGTACCAACCTTGCATCCCAGGAATAAATCTCACTTGATCATAGAGTATGATCATTTTAATGAATTGCTGAATTCAGTTTGCTAATATTTTGTGAAGGATTTTTGCATCTATGTTCATCAGGCATATTGACTTATAATTTTCTTTCTTTGTAGTATCTTTATCTGGTTTTGGAATTAGGATAATACTGGCCTCATATAATGAGCTTGGGAGTCTTCCCTCCTATTGAATATTTTGGAGTAGTTTGAGGATAGGTGTTAGTTCTGCTTTGAATATTTGGTAAAATTCGCCTGTGAAGCCATTCTGTTTGGGACTTTTGTTTGCTGGGAGGTTTTTTTGTCCTTTTGTTTTTGCTGCTTTAATTTCACTAGTTGTAATTGGTCTATTCAGGTTTTCTGATTCTTCATGACTCAGTTTTGGAAGATTGTATGTTTCTAGGAATTTGTCCATTTCACCCAGGTTGTCCAATTTGATGGCATATAGTTGTTCATAGTATTTTCTTACAGCCCTTTGCATTTCTGTGATGTCAGTTGTTATTTCTCCTTTTTCACTTCTGATTTTATTTGGGTCCTCTCTCTTTTTTTTCTTGATGAGTCTGGTTAAAATGTTCATCAGTCTTTTTAATCTTTTCAAAGAACCAGCTTTTGGTTCCATTGATCTTTTGTATTGTTTTTTTAGACTATATTTTGTTTATTTTCACTCTAGTCTTTATTATTTCTTCTACTCACTTTGGGCCTTGTTTCTTGTTATTTTTCTGGTTTCTTTAGATGGAATGCTAGATTGTTTGAGATTTTTTTTCTGTTTCTTGAGGTAGGCTTGTAATGCTATTAATTTCCCTCTTAGGACTGCTTTTGTTGTGTCCCATAGATTTTGGGTTGTTTTTTCGTTTGTCTCAATGGATCTTTTGATTTTCTTGTTGATCTCATTATTAACCCATTCATTGTGTACTAACATATTATTTATCCTTTATGTGTTTGTGTGTATTTTAGTTTTTGGGGGAATTGTAATTTCATGTCATTGTGGTCAGAGAAGATGTTTGATATGATTTCAATCTTCTTAAATTTATTGAGACTTGTTTTATGTCCTAACATGTGTATTTTAGAAAATGTTCCATGTGCACTTGAAAAGAATGTATATTCTGCCACTTTGGGGTGAAATGCTCTGAAAATATGAATTGAATGCATTTGGCCAGTGTGTCATTTAAGGCCACTATTTTCTTGTTGATTTCTCTGTCTGGAAGATCTACCCATTGATGTCAGTGGGGTATTAAAATCCCCTACAATGACTGTATTACTGTCAGCTCTCCTTTTATGCCCATTAAGATTTGCTTTATACATTTAGGTACTCCTTTGTTGGGTGCATAATTTGCAAGGGTCATATCCTCTTGTTGGATTGATCCCTTTATCATTATATGTCCTTTGTCTCTTATTATAACCTTTGTTTTAAAGTCTATTTTTTCTAAGTATTACTACCCCAGCTTTTTTTTTTTTTTTTCAATTCTCACTCAAGGACATGTTCATTGATTT